GGACTGTGGGAGGAAGCCGGAGTGGCCGGAGAGAACCCACGCTGACATGGGGAGAACATGCAAACTCCGCACGGAAGGGCTCCCGCATCCGGGATCGAACCAGCAACCCTCTTGCTGTGAGGCGAGAGTGCTAACCACCACACCACCGTGTCGCCCTATAAAATTATTATTAAAGTAAAAGTACTTAAGAATTGGGTCTTTTTATGATGATGATGAGAATGAGGACGACGGCGATGATACAGTATTGTGGTTCAGTGGCATTTGGTTAAGGTGGAGTTCATTCTAGTAACTTTATATACTAGGTATCGTAAGTGCTATATCGTAGGCAACTGGACTTGCTTGTGTTCAGTTGCCTACAATATAGCACTTATGATTACAATGACCTGGATGATATATACTGGGTAAATACACCTGCAGTAATGCAACATATTTTATAAGCTGATCATAGTATATTTTGTATGTAAAATGTTAAACTGCAAAGTAAATAGTAACTATGGTTGTCAGACAAACAACAAAAATAAGTCAGATAAAAAAATGCACAACACTTCTTTCAGGAATGTAGTGGACTAAAAATATACACTCAGACTGAAGGTCTCTGCACACCAAGCTGTATTTTACACGTGTTTTTTTCATCAGATATCTGATAAAAATCATGACACACAGAAACCTTGGGCACTGAACCCTCTGTTATAACGTTCTGCTTGTTGTGAAAATTCATTGCTGTTGAGCATGTCTGGATAGGCTAACATTACCCTCTCTTTGTCATGAAACATTTCAAGAGGTTAATTGCCTCCTTACAATTCCATGTCTTTTTCTTGCTGCCCGCCTGTCCACTTTTGCCCTGTTCCTTTCCTTTGTTGCAAATGTGACCTAAAGGTTACGCCACATTATCTTTAATGCTTCTTGGTCGAACAACACTCTAAAGGCTTTTGACACATGCAAAAAAAAGAAACACAGAAAATCGAACCTATTCCCAAAACTTTGATGAAAATCTGAGTCGGTGTGTAAATGTCATTGACACAACATGAGGTCGTATTTATTTTTAAAACGTGCCACAATGCGGGGCATCGGTGGCTTAGCGGATAGAGCAGGCGCCCCATGTACAAGACTGTTGCCGCAGCAGCCCGGGTTCAACTCCAGCCTGTGGCCCCTTGCTGCATGTCTCTCCCTCTCTCTCTCTCCCTTTCACACTTCACTGTCCTATCAATTAAAGGCAAAAATGCCCATAAAAATATCTTAAAAAAAAAAAAAAACGTGCCACAATGCTAGATGAAAAACACAAGATTTGTGAGCAGAGGCCTTTTGTATGTAAACCTTTCATTAATCAAATTAGAGAACTGTGTCCGTTTGCATTAATCTCTTCTAATACTAAATCCTACTGATTGATCAAGTCTGGTGTGGCGTCATGGCTCAGTGGGAAGTATCTCTTTCTTGGTGTCCAGGTTGTTTCATTTGTACAATGTAATTACTTGGATTAAAGATGTGTCATTGATTCATTCTTGGCCAAAGCTGTGCTTTGAGTTGTGAACACCTAAGAAGGCCTTAAAGTTTCCAAGCCTCCCTCCACAACAAAAAAAAGCAATCCTCAGATGATAATACACACAAATTTTAGATGTCTTGTGTTTGGTCTTTAGAGAGCCTCGGCAAGCGCGTCTTCAATCCTGAATCACTGATTGCTCACCCATCACCTCCTCCTCCCCAGCACCTGCTCTCTCTGGCCCAATCCCAGAGGATTTCAGCACCAACTGAAACATCGTTTTATCTCACACCACAACAAGTTAAAACATCAATGGACCAGAGCTTAAAACCTAATACCTCTGTTCTCAAGCGTTTTTCCTCTGATAAACCACCCCAGCATGCCAGAGCTCTGTATTCCCACACAGAGTCAAGTGGAGGAGGAGCATGTGTGCAGAGTGCAGGTGTGGGTGGTTTGTTGGGTAGAGAGGGGAGTGCAGCTGGTTGGGGTCACAGTGGCTCAGTGTGCAGAATGACTAATGAAAGGTTTATAGCGGCGCAGCATGACTGCCTAGTCTGAATAGTGGGCTGGAGGAGGACACGCCTTGTCTGGCTCCCTGCCTGTCTCTGGTTTAAACCAGGCATTTAACAAGTTCTCTCAGAACATAGGGGCCACAATCCTTCACTTAATAAGCTCATTATTTCACATTGTTTTTGTCCTTTGCTCCTCCTCGGCGGCGGTGGCAGGGAAAATTATGTTTGATGTGTGTCTCTTTTAGAGAGTTGTACAAGGGTCTTTGAGAGGAAAGGATGATAATGAATCCACTAATGATGTGGCCCTTGCTTATATGGATCCTTGCAGTAATGCTGGGTCGTCTGCATGAATATTCAGAGGCTTTGTCTCCGGGAGAGAGGTGGACGCTCAAGGTTACTTTAGAGGGCAACAGAGGACGAGGCTCAAGAGCCGATTCAGCTTTTAAATCAGCTTCTATCATCAGCAAAATTACAGTGAAATACCTGGGAATCAAAGCAAAATTCATCAGAGGCCGTCTTTTGATCTATGCTTTGAGTGTGAGTTTACCAGAAGCCCTCAGAGCTTCTAAAAGAAGATACCAAAGCAGTTTGACATTTAATGTCTGGGGATAAAAACAACTTCAGTTTTATTGGTTGACTGTTTTCTTCCCATTACAGAATTCCCTCTTGATGCATTTATCCTGAATCTCTCCATTAGTACAGCTGAAAATCCTTTTTGTGAATGCTACAGTATACAGTAACTGAGCGCACATGTATAGAGTAAAAACTGATAATGCCTCTCAACTAACTTCCAAATTACACCTTCGGAGAAAGTATATTATTAGGCATTATTAGGCTATTTACAAAAAGAGTTTTGGAAAAACTTGGGCTTCTACTGTAGGTACGACATCTATATGTGGAATTACCACTATGAAATTTTTGCATCTTGCAGGATGAAACCTCAGTCTTAACAATTTATCACTGTTTCACTGCGCAGCAGTAAAAATCAATAGCATAGTTATACTGAGTGGAATTGACTGAGTGTGAAATTGCAATCAAACAGCAACTATTACCCTCAACCAAATAGATACTACAGAGATAAATGATGTTTACAAATCCCCCTGAAATCCAGTTTACATTGTTCTATTGCTTGTTTCAGTTATGCCTTATCATGGAAAAATGTTCCTCTCATGAAATGTAATTTTGGCTCCCTACTTGAGAGAGTAAATGCCTTTTCAGAGCCAGAATTTGTTCACTATTTGTAGCAAATTTTTAAAACTAGATTTATTAAATCAAATCAAGCCGTGTCAGATTTGTTTTCAAAACAACTTTAACAGGACACTGTTGTCACAGAATGCTGAACAGGACAAACAAGTGTCCTGTGTGCTCCGCTCAGTGCCTTTGGCTTGAATCTAATTTAACCTTGCTGCATTTCATTGTTCCTGTTTCTCAGAGTATTTTTCTTTATAGAACAAACTATACAAATAAATGTCATATATTCAACTACATGCATGTATTGCATCAAATATGGATTCTGGATTCTGTCAGTGGTACTGCAGAGTGGCACAATATAGAGTTTAAGTGTTGCTCTGCTCGAAGGTGCAATATGGAATTGGAAGGTGTGACAGTGTTGACATCAACAGCTGTGACAAACTTGTAACAACAGGCAGACAAAACACCTCTTAGAAGGAACCAGTTAAACGTTTGGAGATTTCAATTACCACCTTAATGGGCTTCTCAAGATCAATAACTGAGCGTGTATTTTGACAAGATGGTCAGGGCTACAAGGGGCTTGTGCCGCTCCATCAGTTTAGAATAGCAGACACTGAAAGGCGGTTGCTGTTGTGGATGTGTTTCCCAGGCGATGGCATCTGTGTGTGTTGCGATAAATATTCATGCGTTTCACATGCGCCAATGCAAACTGATATCAAAGATGCACATCCTACATGAGCTATCATTAGGGTTAGGGGATCAGATAACACAGCAGCACCAAAACAAGATTAGAAATGTCACACGCCACCTCCTTAGCCCACTCCCCTTAATTTCCCCCACCCGCCTCTTCCTCCAGTGTCTTGTTCAGAAGAATGAAGACGAGAAAAGATTCAACACACAGAGCCAGACAGCAACACAGAGCTCTCCAGCGCATACTAATCTAAAACAACATTGCATCTGGGCAACGCGTTTTATTCCCTCCCCACTGAGGCGTGTTTAAGTGTGAGATAGGGCTCTGCAGATCTCATCACTTAGGGAAGGTTGTGGCCTGCATCTACAGCCCTCCCCCGCCACCACCCCCTCGTGCAGGTTCCTATCACTTCCACCCTCAAATTGGAAGTGACAGCCCACTCAGGCAGAGGTGTCTTCACTCCCCCCCATCTGCAGCCATGCAGCCCCACTCAGAGCTGTCAGCCTGATTATATATCAGCAGGATGGGGGGACCTAAGGAAAGGAGATGTCCAGCTGGAGACAGACCACTAAACACATCGTCTGTCCGGCTGCTGCACATCTGCCAATACACATACCACCTGTCCCCAAGGCTGCCACAAAACCAATCTGTAGGTCTCAATCACTCCTGCTGTCCTCTAGAAAACTCTCTTCCTCTTCCTCTGTCTTTCCTCTGATCTGCCACTACATCTTTTTCAAACTTTGGTTCTGTTTGCTGCTCCCAGTTTCCGTCTTTCCTTCTCTCTTTTCTTGCTTACTTGCATCTGGTTTTCCCTCTTTTTCTTGTGCTTTTTTTCCTCCCCTGTCTCATCCTCAGTACTTGCTACTGGGAGCACAACTCATTTACCAACTTTTCATGCTTGTAGCAGCTCATTACACAGATAGAGCTACCTGTCTTTCCTCTGTGGACTAGTAGAGCAGTGGTGGTTTTCCCGGGGATCAAAAGTAGTCTACTAAGTGATAGGAAATGTTCAATTATTGGAGCGGCTGATGCATCAGGAGGCGCCTAACTCTCCCCTACAAGGACAAAAAATACATGTTGTTTACTTAAGTGCTGATTTTCTTGTCTCTTTTCTCTTCTGTCTCCCCAGGCGTGAAGCTTGGAAGCACTCCGCGGCAGTCCAGAGAGGTACATGTTTACTCCATTTCTCCCAAAACACAGATCCGCAGGTTGCTCCCAACTGTTATCTATTGCAGAAAAGTGATTGTCAGCCTTGTACCTCTCAGCGTGTCTGATAGTATCTGTGTAGAGAGGCTGACCTCACACTGTGCATTCAGCCAGTCAGACTTTACTGAGTAAACGGTTCCAGCTGAACCAGGTCTACAGAGTTTTCCACAAGTGCATACAATGTCCAGCTGGGTGGAAATCGGTGGGTGTTCATGTATAGAAGGCCCGTTTTGTCAATCAAATGTATATCAGACCTTGGAGTGCTATACCTCGTTTTGTTCAGGAAAAAGGGACATTGCAGTCAGTGCAATCTTACAATCAAAAGAACATATCTGAGAGCATGACAGGTGAAATAAAAATACATGGGCTTTACTGATTTAAGAGGCTTCAACGCACAATGTCATTTTCTGCTGCTAGGGTTCTGTCAATCAAAACAATAACCAAAGACAGACTTTGATGATGTCATGACGCGGCTTGCGGTTATAACTGGGAGCCATTTTATCCAAATGAGCTGCTGCCATTAACTCAGCTTGTTTCTTTGATTATTTTAGATCCAGATATCCGATGACTAAAATCCTTCATCTAGTTAAAAGATAAAGATAAATAATGATAAAGATCTAAAAGGTGACGTGACTTGAAATGTCAGGAAAGTGGTTGGTTGGAAATATTTTAATGTCAGGCTTTCCAGCTCACAGCCAGCTGTTATGGAAAGCTCTGGGCCAAGGTTTCTCAAAACAAAAGTCGCATGGATTCATAAGAAGCTCGTTTAAATTCCATTAAGCTTTTCAAGCACTAGTAACTACTGGATAACAGTTACGACTAATTATGTTTATCCATCCCTTTGTTCATGTACAACCTTGCATTTTGAGACCAGTTCCTGTATTTTAAGATGTGCACAAGAGCCCATTTGAATGGAATTGTTCTCATGCCCCCAAGCAAAATTAAATCAAACAACAATAGCAGGGGGTAACATTTGTCCTAAATTGCCACATATCATTAGTCATGGATAGCTACACTGATCAGATAGATGTGAAGAGAGAGCAACATCATGTTTGACTCCACTACAATCTATAAACTAGATTTCTATGTCAGACACGCAGTGCTCGTAGTACTGTATCCGCTCTCAGATAACCCCTGCTTGCTCTCATCTCTGCTGGGATCGTCAGCACCTATGAGAGACTTGCATCAGTACAGACCCTGAAGAACGTGATGTCTGGTGCATAGGTTTCTGCCCCGTGCTCGCCTTGCACATTAAATCAGACAGGGGAAGGAACCACTCCCTCCTTTTCTCCCCCCCCTCCAGATGTCCCTGAAGATGAAAGAAAATGGCCATTTAAGTCAGGAGGGGGATGAGCCAAGATTCATAATGGTCTCATCACCTTGTCTGTTGTAAAATTAAAATTATACATCCAGTCCATTGGCTTTATGATGCCATTACAGCATTTAATTGAAATAAAATGTCAGAATGCATAATGGCCTTGGGCTTCATCTGATGGTAATCAGGCAGTAGATGATTCTAATTTACATTCCCCATTAAGTGTTTATAAGACATTTATTTGATATTACAGCTCCGTTTATTGATAGGTCATGGATGGCATTGGGTAGTGTGTGACATTTGCGTGAAACAAGTTAGACCTTTGTTTAAGGTATAGTGAAACAGCACCATCAAGTGGCCTCTGTGAATACTGATGACACCATGTTGGGTCAGATTAACCACCCCATTCAGTAAAATGTATTAATTCTCTGTTCTTGTACATATATTTACATTATCATCTGAAGATGTTGCTGTGTGTTTGGTATTTACACATACACTACTGTCTGCTACAACCTGTGTTGTCATTGTTTTATAGACTCTTTCTACGCAGGACAGAGAGAGAGACAAACCTGAAAATAATCAGGACGGCCGAGCAGCAGAAGGAATCCTGTCCAGCCCAATCCCTCCGATGCAGTTTCCACACTTTGAGGAGAGTAGACAGACGGCCACCCCTGGGTCTCGGGAGCAGAATAAACAAACGCCCACCCCTGGGTCTCGGGAGCAGGACATAACCTCCCTTCATGTCTCCAAAAGACAACGCAAACTGCTGAAAACAAGTCCCCCAGTCCATCACCCCCCCAAAAGTGATTCCTCATCATCCTCTACTTCCTCATCCTCTTCTTCCTCCTCCTCCCCCTCTGCCTCTGGCTCTCTCACCCTTGATAAATGGAAAAAGCTAGCCGATATTCAAGGAGCACGCCGGCAACTGATGAAGGAGATGTGTGCCAAGTACAAAAGCAGCATCTCGAAAACCATCACAGCTCATCATGTGAGAAACCTCTTTGTGGAGGACAAGTACAAGTTGTTGTACTGCCAGGTGCCCAAAGCAGGCTGTTCCAACTGGAAGAGGACCCTGATGGTGCTGAGCGGAAAAGCCTCCGATGCTCAGAGCATTAAACATGACACAGTCCACAATGGCCACCATCTCAGGGAGCTTAACAGCTACGACCGACAGGGAATCATGCACCGTCTGGAGACCTACACCAAAATCATATTTGTCCGAGAGCCCATGGAGAGAATGGTGTCAGCTTACCGGGACAAGTTTGAAAATCCCAACAACTACTACCACTCCCTGTTTGGGAAACCCATCATCTCCAGATACAGGACGAACCCGTCCACAGAAGCCCTGAGGACAGGCAATGGGGTAACATTCAAGGAGTTTGTCCAGTACCTGCTGGATGTCCATCGGCCTGTGGGAATGGACATCCACTGGGATCAGGCGAACCAGCTCTGCAACCCATGTCTCATAAACTATGACTTCATTGGCAAGTTTGAGAACATGGAGGAGGAGTCCAACTTTCTCTTGCGATTGACTGGGGCGCCACCCAACGTCAAGCTGCCCAGTTTTAAAGACAGGAACCCATCTGACCAGAGAACTTCTACGGATATCACAGAAAAATACTTTTCACAGGTCACCCCGTTGGAGAGACAGCGAATCTACGACTTCTACTACACAGACTATCTGATGTTTAACTACACCAAGCCTTTTAAAGATTTATACTGACTGACTCCTATCAACTCTTGATTTACAGTCACATTCCATGTCCATATATGATGATAATAATTTTAACATAAAGAGGCTAACTCACAGGCTGACGTGGATCTTTGCATCTACAGAGACATCAGAGAGACTAAACTTCCTCTGAATTTTGCTTTACATCTACATCTCTACCAGATTACCTTCATTTTCAGACAATGACTTCAAACTACGAAATGAAAAGGTTCATGTGATTTTAACTACTCTAAATTGTCCTGAAATGGAAGTTATGTATTCACTACTAGCATACGGTGAGGTAGAATATTCAAATTATAAATGTTTTGCTTCTAAAAAAAAGTTTATTATTGTTCAGCAGGCTTTAAATTATGCCTTACTGTGAGTCAAATAGGATCTGCAAATATGTTTTATGGTTTGTTTCAATGTAGGCGCCACATGAGTGCAATTTAATATAGGATCTAATCATATGCCCATAGTCAGAACTGATTTCAGTATACAGAACAGTATGTTACTGAGCCACTATCACCCACTTTTGGAATAATGATACCGCGTTCCTTGGTTGAGCTCAGATAAAGATCAAGTAATGATCACCACCATGCACTCCATGTGTTCATTTGGAATCTGTGCATTAGAATATGTAAGGGATAATGCCCGATGATGTCTCCATTATCAGTTCTTAATGGCGGATGTGGAGGCGTGAACCAACCGATGCATGGCCTCTGCTTATACCATGATCACTTACCAAAGAACTACAAAGTAAGAATATTCATTTATATTTTTATGCTTTTTGCAGTCAAAATCTTTTTCACAAGCCATAACTTGTTTCCATGGTAACACCTAAGGTTTTAACTTATACAGTACCTGGAACAACCATTACCACCCCATAAGGTCCTTATGCAAGGTTCTTATTATCCATTAAATAGGACAAACCTTAGATATGACTTATCAAAGGGGGGCCATTTCTAGTCTGCTCAGCTCATAGAACCATTTGGCTCAGCTATAAGCTAGAAAACTAACGTTACACAAGCAAGTTTCAACCTCAATGACATTGAGTACAGTTTGAAAACAGTAAATATAATTTCAAAGTATGTTTAACAGCAACACCAGTTAGCTATCCAGCCCCGTCATTCTCTACAAGTCAATATCTAGATGTTCACGAACAATACACAGGTGTAACGTTACTGCCGGCTGCAGCCTAAGGTTGCAATTTGAATAGCGAATGGGATGTGAAATGATTGCTTAAATTCAGAGGGGCAGTATAGTACATGCAGTGTGTGTTACAGTCTCAATCCCGTGGTGTTCAGAGGATGCAGCACTGATGGACTACACTCAGTGTTGGAAATTGATTGTAAACAGAGGCTATGACTGCATCCCTTACTCATTAGATACAAGCTAACATTATGTAGTCAGTGCATTAACTCTGTAGTGTCCATTATCAAATTTCAATACCCTGCAGCTGATCAAAATTGAGTATTCAGACCATGGTGTAATAAATATTAAATTTGAAATATTTGCATTTACTATTTGACTTACAGCAAGTTAGGCGTCAGTATACCTCTATGTATCAGTGCATACTAATACAGATATTTCATGTAAGTGGTTTTACTAAACATAAACCATAATGAAATTATAATACTATAAATAGTATGAATCTTTAAAATGTGTCAAGTGCTGCCCACTCAGAAGCTGTGTGCACCTATTGTAGCATTTTTGTACTTCTAACTTTGTCAGCTAGGTTTTTGCTTTAGTCTAACACATACATGTGCTGTAGGTCCCCCCCATCACTTGAGGTATTTACTTGGGTGGCTGTTGCTGTTAAATGCACAACATTCAAATATTTGCTGGGTGTGAAGTGTTGCTGCCAGTATCTCCTGACGCCTGTTAGTGTTCCAGATAGGGATGTCCTGATCAAGTTTTTTTGCCCCATCCCAGTCCGAGTCATTCAATGTTCAGTCCCGATCCGATACCCCTATTCTCTTCGATAATACAGCTGCACAGTGCACGCCATGCCGTTGTTAGCCGTCATGAATGTGTATATTTGCAGCGTCTATACATCTTTTGTGCGGATTATGTTAATAAATTAGTAATTGTTTTTTTTTTAGGGTGGTTTTGCCCGTGGCATTGTGTAGGGGCATGGTGAGTGTGGTTGTTTCCATCTCTCCACACACAGAAAACATGCTGCACTGTAGATAACAGAAAAATGCAAGAGACGCTGACACTGAGCTGCAATTAAATGAGGGCTCATAACTAAGATAAATAACATTAATGGACAGTTTCATACAGCATTTCACCGTTATTTATGGTGTGTGGTGTTTTGCGGCAGCTGGATGCAGAGTGGAAGAGACACAGATGGCCGTAGCCATTGCGTCACTGTGAAACCTTTGCCTGTAAAAACACCGGTGTGACAGCTGACGTAAAACGAAGAATTGGATCAGGCTCTGTACAGCTCAGTATAGCCAAACCGGATCAGTTAAAAAATGCCATTATCGGCCCAGATACGGATCTTTGAGACTGGATCAGGACATCCCTAGTTCTGGATTTACTAGTCATTCAGTTTCTAGGCTTTGTTGACAGAGCTGGCAAGAGAATGGGTAAAAGTCAACACTGCAAATAAAAAACAACAGCAATGTTTCGACTTGGCCTGATGGCAGTTGAAAAATGTGTGATTTGGACATTTTTAGAGGTTGAGACAAAGACAAGAGTGTTCCCAGTCTCCTCCATCTTTCACACTAAACACCTCCTGAACAGCTATCACTTACAGATCTCACAGCGTCAGTAACTCCATACCCTCTGTATGTATCACATCTATTCTGCACCACCATATAGGCTTTTTTCTGACACTACTGTGTACAATTGTATAATGGGCATTCAGATGACTATATATTTTTCTATATATTTCTAAAATATATATATTCAGTGCTTATGGTGACGGTATGTTTATTTTCTTTTCAATGTCATTTGTTGTTCTTTCAGTAATACCAGTGTAGAGTTGTTGTGTAACAGAAGAGTTTCTTTCCAAAATAAAATATCCACCAGCTGAAAACCACAAGTCTAACTCCCAAGAAGCTAACGACTGCAGACATTTGCGGTGCCATTTGAAGTGCAGAAGATATCTTGCATTTGATATATGAACTGGTACCACTTGGTGCTTTGAAGGTAGCTGAGGACTTTTTTTTTTAATGAAAATGGATATAAACACTTTTGGAAATTAGCTCTTTAATTACTTATCTCAGATCTGTTTCTCTGAATATGATAATAGACCCTGTACAGATGAGCTGCATTCCACCTAGTTACCCATCCTGGCTAATAACATTTTTACCCACAGCAAATCCAGTGTGTGTGTGTGTGTGTGTGTGTGTGTGTGTGTCTGTGTGTGTCTGTGTCTGTGTCTGTGTGTGTGTTTGTCTGTGTGTGTGTGTGTGTGTGTGTGCGTGCGTGCATGTATATGTGTGTGTGGCTCAGAGAGAGCTGTTAAGATGTGTTACAGTCTTTTTTCCTTCAACTTTTAGAAACGTGTACACACACACACACACACTGCTAAAAGACACAAATTGAGGTACAGGTACAGTATCCTGTGTGTCACATTATTATACTGCTATATTCCCAACACACCACCCAGCTGGCACTAAACTATTACCTGATGCAGGCCAGATCACATTAACAATGTGCACTAGTGGAAACTGTACCGAGACTAGCAATTCTTGAACCACAGAACCATTCACCAGATAATCACTGTAAATCTCCAAGATTACATTGACTAAATGAGATGTCAGCCAAGGTTTCTCCAAATGAAAGTTGAGTTTAAATCTTCTTGGTTTACAGTTTAAGCTTACTGTGCAGTGAGTGCAATGAAGACGTGACTACATACGATAAACATGACCCCGAAATAAAAGATGCAAATGAAGACATGTAAGAGTTACATTTCCACAGAAATACCTTTAATAAACGAAGTACAACAAACTATAATTTAATCAAGATAACAAGTCTGGCTGCCACCCAAAGCGGTATTTTTTAATAGGGCACTGTGCAAAGAACTTCATCTAATGTGATATTGGGAACAACCTATTGCTAGTTTCCTGTAAAGTAGCAGTCACTATTCAGCTACATGCTTTACAGCTCACTGGAAATGTGTTTTATGTAACAACATACTTGAAAGAGAAGTATTTGCCTATGAGTAAGGGGAAATTTATATTATTTAAATCTATACACACTATAACTTTTGAGGACCTTTAATGATTTGGTGGTAGTACCCTTTCACGGTGATGGTAATTGTATGAACTTTTGTCAGTATACTGTGTTGACTTTTGCAAATCCAAAAATCTAATCTTTGTTTAGGTTGTGGTCAGATTCGATGTAGGTATAGCCAATATCTGGCCAAACAGCTACTGCATTATGATGAGTATTACTCCTGCAAATTCTCTGTCCGTTCCTGCCCCCCACCCCCGCTAATAAAGTCTTTTTGATATGTGGGTGTATGGACAGATTTATCAAAAGCGTAATTACAATAACAAGTGAATGTATAACTGTTTATTGTTGGTGCAGAAGTGTATAAAATATGATCTTAAGCCCTTTGCCTTATTTTACACTGCCAATCAAATGGTGTATTTCAGGAAGACATTCTTCAGGAGGTTATTATTTCTGGCTGATGAGTGTCTACTAATAAACTGTCTTTAGCATTTTCAATGTATGTTTCTCTTTTTTCTCTTGCATTGTTAGTTTGACTGTCTGAAGTCCAATGTGGTTTCTGAGAGTCAGTTAATGAGCTCATGAACTCCAGGATGACATCTGTGGTATGAGGCTTTGCTTTGGATAATTGTTTTTCAGTATATTTGCATTCGTAGATTTTTCAACTCATGTTCTTGAACACATAACAAAATAATACTAAGCATCTGCAGCCATGCTACTGATACCCAGATACTGTAGGCACCTAAGTATTTTGAGCTAAGGGCTAATGACAGCATGCTAACATGCCCACAATCACAGTTGTTATCATTCCAATGTCAGGTATTACATTTCATCCCAGGTTGGACATAGGTGTTCAATAATTGTTGAAATGCTTCACTTAAAGCCACAAATATCAACCTCATGCTGGTGCAGGGGGGAAAAGTAGAATATAATGTTCAGGAACCGTGAACGTCTATACAAGATTTTGTGCCAATCCATCTAGTAGATTGACATATTTCACAAAATAACGACAAATGTACACAGCATCTGGCTGCATCCCGTTCCAGCTGTGCTCTGGCTCAGTCGCAGTTTCAATGTCCACTGGAAACATTTCAGAAGTGGAGCATCTGTTCTTCAGCAGCCACACTTATAATATAGTTTGTGAGTTGTTTACCGACATTTTCTGTGTTTTACAGGCATAAATACAGGTTTGTAGCTCATTTAGATGTGGCAACAGATGCTATTTGGCTGTACTTGGATATGACAAATTTCTGTTGCTTCAAACCTGCTCTGTGATCACTCATTTTAAACGTCGATATACTTGTTTGTTTTGTCTGATGATGTAGTGATCATACAATAATGATGTCTGCAGCTGCAGCAGCTTGGTAATGCCTGCTGGTCAACATAGTATTCATGAGCTGCAATAAAATTTCACACTCATTCAGCTGTCTGATAACAGAGACAGAAAAATATGTAAATGAGAATATATATATATATGATCAATTTGGCTGCATTAAAACACACTGTAGGTGATCACAGAGAGGAGCAGAACGGAGTTTGAGAGAGGGAGTCGGCCCTCATTTCTCCCCTTATCTCACTCTCTCACAACCTCCTGTCTATGTGCGAAGACGGAAACAAGTTAAGTGCATCATCAAAATTTAATTTTAAGTCAATAACCAGTAAATATAGGGGTTTATACACATTTCAAAGTGAATTTCATGTTTCAAAGATGCAAGCTGCTCTGGCAAAAATACACCCAGTGCATAAAGAGAGCGTAGCAACGAAAAGAGCCGCGCTTGAGACACTGCGGACAGAATCAGCATGCAATGCAGCCAGGTCCTGTGTAAATAAAGCATATGTAAAAAAAAAAAATATATATTGGTTGTTGCGCTATGAGAAATGTTTGGGGATCATCCTCTTATTTTACACATTCTATGATTAATACAAGCTATTGCACACCATGTGAGCATGGCACTCGAAACCACACACTACACTTGTCCTGTCTCTTCTTCAGTGTTAATTTAACCAGCATCGGTTCATAAGAGCATGTTATTATTCAGCACAGAATTAGCACTCGCAAAGAGGTAACACTTTTAATGATGCACAGCAGCAGAAGGAAACAGACACGTTTCAGCCCTCAGAGTTTCATGGACATTTGTGGGTGTGACCCCTTATACCGCAGCCAGGAACCTGCCACTGATCTTCCTTTGTTTGATTATTCAGCAGGGACCTGATATGCATGCATACATCTATCCAGTACAACCACAGCCTGCTTCTGTTGGCCGCTGAGTAGCTTTACAGGATTGAATGGAAGATATAAAGCTACATAAATCAGGTTCACTTGCTGACAGCCTCAATTGGCAGCAGGAGGTAACTTTAAAATGTCATCAGAAAAAAAGGTGACATAAAAATCATGAGATGAAATCATGGATTGGTACCAGAGAGCTCCTTATAGCTTATTCATTCTCAACAACAAGTCAATGAGTCCTTGTATCAAAAGATATCAGGGATAATAGAGCAAAGTACTCTATCTAATGTTGACAAGACCAGCTTTCAAAAAGTGTTTGCTGCCAAGAAAATGGTTTCAATTTCAGTTTAAAAGAAATTCTCCCTCTTACACTCTTACACTGTTATGTGTCATCAGTCTGTGATGTTCGCCAGGGGGGATTTTGTGATCATTTCATTTTTTGGTGCACCAGGTTCCTTCAGTCTGCCTCACCTACTTTTACTTCATGTAGTGGTTTCCAACATTTCCCAGGATGGCCTTTGAAAAATCCCAGTGAATAACTTCTTTCATCCCGCTGTTGGTTTTATATGAGGGAGGAAAGAGAAACAACAAAAGCAACACAGTTTCCAATTTTCCAGTTCTGTTTCTCGCAATTAAGTTTTATAGTCACAACAAAGAAAGTGTTGACTGTGTCTCAAAACAAAGTACCCCTGTTCCTGCCTGCTCTGTAGTGGATTCTTCAGTGTATCATTACTTTGCATTGGTGCAAGAGAGCAGCACCAAAGAGATGCTTTAAGGCTTCGGGATGGATTTTTCCTTTCATAAAGTCATTTACTTCAAAAGAGGGAAAATCATTTCAAATTTCATTTTACAAAAACAACAATAACTTTGTTAAATACTGTGATATAGATATTACTTGTGATAAATAAACAGATATGAGTCAGTTCTTGACTCAGACTTGCACAGTATCTGTGCTTGTGCCATACCGTCTCTTCTGTATCCAAAACGTTGCCAGACGACTGATGTGCTTCTTTTTTTTTTCTTTTTTTGAGCATCACTCTCTAGCATTCACACTTTTGTCTGTGCTCATGTTACCACACCATGCAGAGATGTGCAGCAGCACTAGTCTAATAAACCTGACTCGCATGTGTGCAGATTATGACCAATCAAAACATGACTGACAGGGAGGGCTCTGTCTGATTGGTCAGAGAGTTAACAGCATGATGCATATCAGACAAAACAGCACCTACACACAGAATGTGTAAAATGTTTTTACTGTTTTCAAAGTGCAAAATCACAGTCTTTTGCAATGTGTTTATCGCCCATGTTGACATCGCAATGACAATTAAAAAATATAGTAGTATAGTAGTAGTAGTATAGTATATTGTTCAATACTGTTCAACTTGAATATGTAGCTGCATGCTAGTTTATTTAGACAACATACCCTTTAACTCTTTAGCATCTCAGTAGCTCAGTATGTTACAGGTCAACTAGCCTAGCATAGTGTTGTGGCTCACAACATGCAAAACTACCTGTCTCTAAACTTTACATGTTATTACCAAATGGCAACCTCCAGGACTGAAAAATAAAGCCAATGCAGAAGTGCCATAAACTGCAGTCCCTTGAATGGCCACTAGAGGCTGGTTCCAGAAGCGAGTCAATCCGCATAGACACTCATGTTAAAAAGCCCAACTTTACAGCAGAAATAAACATGTTTACAGACTGGTACAAAAAAAAAACTTTAGCTAATTTTCATGAAAACTGTATGGGCAATGAATTTTTATATAACTCTCCCATTCATATTTAATTAAGGTTTAAACTTAGGCATATTTAAAGCTACTCTTACCTTTCTTGTATTTCACATAGCACTTTAAAAAAATTTGAACATCCACAACTCCCGCCTCCCTCCAAAGTCCCATCCCCCTCCTCCTGCAACTCCACCTCCCTCCAAAGGCCTACTCCCCCCTCCTCTACTACATCCTCATTATGTCTATGATAGACATAGGTGTTGGCATGGTAACGTTAGATACATGGAGGAGGAGAGCGAGTGTAACGTTACAACCAAGACAGTCAAAGTTTTAAAACTCAACCGGAGTCAGTGATGACTGATGAGTTTTAGAGTAAAGTTACAGTGCTAACGTTAGATAGTAGCGTTAACGTTACTAGTAAGTGGAAACGCACAAGGAAGATAACAATGTTTCAGAGGCTGCACTACAGTAGGCTAATGTTAGCCATTAGCAACTGGATGATGTGTTGTCATATATAACATTATAGCCTATGTTACATTAGAGGCAAACTAAAAACACCTGTCCAGCAGAAACTCTGCGACCATCTCGTTCCTTTTTAGCTCAGGGTGAAGATCAGTCTTCACCATCGCTTGAAAGCAGAGCCGATGTTGACCAGAGTTTTGGCTCTTGCAGCATCGAGTTCTCTCTTAGTGTTAGCTTTTTCTGCTATATTCTTTCTTTTGCCAACTGATTTACCTGTTGGAGCGGCTAGAGATGGAAGCGGTGGTCCGCATTTGTCTGCCGGTCCAAATGCAATGATTGGTTGGAGTTTTCTTAGAAACATATGAGAATGGTATAATTATGAGTTTTGATCTCTGGTGGAATTCAATTACATTTTAGTGTGCCATCAGCTTAGTAATAGCATTTTAACCTATACAAAGAAAAGTGTAAAATTTCCAGAAAGGTAAGTGTTGCTTTAAGGGTAAGCCGCTTGGGTGACAGGCTGTCTGCGTCACCACACTGAGAGTCAGATCCACCCCTCGCTCATTCACAGCTCCACCCTCTCATCCAAATATGGTCACCTGTGGTTCCAAAAAACAAGATGGCTATGGCTAAAATGCTGAACTTAGGGCTTCAAAATGGGAGTCCACAAATCAATGGGTGACCAGTGGGTCATGGTAGTTATGTATGAAACAAGGAGCCAAAAATATTAAGCTTGCATTCAGCTGGACTGTAGTTTGTATTCTGAACCACACTTCCATAATGAAGTGCATTATGACTTTTTGACCTTTGCTGCATATTATTCATGTCTTGTATTTTCAACCCTTTACATTTGCTTGTTAATATTCACATAAACACAAGCCTGTTGGGATTTTTTAACACTTCAAGTTCAGTCACAGTTTGCCCACAGGGATGTCTTAGATCCACTCTGTGCCACGGAGGGTTGGAATTCAGATAGTCCTCGAGGGTACGTATCCTCACATCACCTCAGATAACTGTCAGTGCACTGTTTCATGTCTAGAAGTGAAACTTTTCATTTTGAGATCTAAGTGCTTTTCAAATTG